TCTATAAAAAGGCGCGTGGGAGAGTGGAGTCGGGACGAAACGAAACGACTGCTGAGGAATCCGCACGCCCCTGCGATTCCGGAGAATGTTGCGTCGCTCTGACTCTCTCGCTACGCGACGGGACGCCGCATGAGTGCGAAAGAGACAAAGCGACGCTTCGGAACTAGTCGCCAGGCCCTGGTCGGGACTTCCCTCCCGAAATCCGCGCGGACTGAGGAACAGATCATGACGGTGGGCACTTCGCAGTCTGATTCCGAACAGTGCTTTCGTTGTTCTGTCTCTCTCCCGCTTGGGGCGACCCACGGGGGTGCGACGGAGACGGGGACAAGGCGAACGATCCAGCCTGCAGGCTGCGAGGCATTGGGGCGCGCGTGGGCGGCCGATCGAGTGGACACGGCGACGCGGCCACGCGGCGTGTCGATGGCACTGAGTCACCGAGGGGTCAGCGCGGGCAATATCCATCTCCGCCCTCGGCCCCTCGGCCAGGCCGGCCGCGCAGTGCAGTGACAAACAATGGAGCGAGCGCGTTGCACAGCCCGCCTGTCCGTCCACAGGGGGGGCCGGGGGCCCCAGGGCCCGGGCCCGGGCCCCCCCCCCGGGGGCCCCCCCAACCCCCTTTGGGCCCCGGGGGAAAGGGGGCCCAAAACCCCCAAAAGGGGGCCCGGGTTTCCCCCCCCGGGGGGGGACCGGGGGGCCCTTTCCCTTGGACCCAAACGGCCGGGGGGCCCCATTTCCCCAGGCCCCCCAAAGAGGGGCCCCAAGGGACCCCCCGTCCCGGGGGGGCCCCCTGGGCCGACCGGGGGGGCCCCGGGGGTGGGCCGGGCCCCGTTGGGGGCCCCCCAAAAACTTTTTGCCCCGGTTTTGACTCTGGGTCGCCAAAATGGGTCGAAGGGGCGGGCCCCCTCAAACGGTTCCCCCTTTCGCGGGAAATTCCATTGGGTGGGGCCCCACGCCCGGCCGAGTCCCCTTTGGGCGCCTGGGCCCAAACCCCCCCCAGGGGGCCGCCCCCCCGGGGGGCCGGCCCACGGGGGCCCCGGGGACCCGGGGCCACCCGGGGGCAGGGGGCACCCCCCGGGGGGCCCCCGGGGGAGGGGGCAGGGGGCAGGGGGCACCCGGGGGACGGGGGGGAGGGGGCACCCCCAGCCCGGCGGCAGCCCCCCCGGGGGCCCCGGGGCACCGGGGCCGCCCAGGGCGGGGAGGGGCGGGGGAGGGGGACGGGGGACCCGGGGGAAGGGGGCCCGGGGGACGCCCGGGGACGCGGGGCCCCCGGAAACCCCCCCCGGGGCCCGGGGGGCACCCCGGGGGCACCCACGCCGGGGCCGCGGGGCCGCGGGGACGGGGCCCGGGGGGCCCCCCGGGGCAGGGGGGGCAGGGGCACGCCGGGGCACCCCGGGGACGCGTGGCAGGGCAAGGCCGGGCAAGGCCGGGGCACGACCCGCGGCCACGACGAGCCGGCAGAGCCGCGGAGCCGAGGCGAGGCTGAGAACCGGGCCACGGGTGACAGCGCGGCACGGCACGGCACGGCTTGGCACGGCGCGGCACGGCACGGCACGGCACGACGGCAAATTTAGGTTACGGCTTCTTCCTTTTTCCCTTCCCTGGGGAACTGGTGGGGGCGGCACGGGGGGGGCCGCGCGCGGCGGTCCCTTTCCCAAAGGGCGCGATCGAACCCGAACAACGACGCGCTGCCAAGCGGGTCAGTCCTGGCCGCTCCGCCCAGGACAGCGTCATTAGTCTTGCCGTTCGAACCGCGCCGCGCCGCGGGGACGGGGACGGGGACCTGACCCGCGGGGGCGGAGGGAAGGAGGGTCCTAAGCCGCGGCCGTCTTTACCGCTCTCGCGACCACCGTCGGCCACCGCCCCGCTCCCCGCCGCCCTCCTGTCGACTGATTCCGAGGGCCGCCTTCGTCGCTCTGTCTCTCTCGCACTCGTGGGGCGTCCCGTATAGGTGCGAGAGAGACAGAGCGACGAAGGCGGCCCTCGGAATCAGTCGGCTGGCTGCAGCAGTCCGGGGCTCCGCGGGCAGGACGCGAACAAAGCTCGGCCAGCGTCGGCGGCGACGGCGCCGACCGGGACAAACAAATGCCCGGGAGAAGCAAAGGCGGGCACCACGGGCTCGGCTCGGCTCTCCCGCGGCATCCTGCCGCCCCGCTTCGCCCCCCGCGCCGCACACCAAGCCTGTCGCCTCCATAGTCCCATTGAGACGCAATTGATTCGAGACAAATGGCCACCGCCTCGGAGTCCCGCGCCTCTGCAAAGCCCGGCAGAGCCCCACGCCCTGAAGGCCCCGCAGCGCATTTACGAAGGGCGCTGTGCCGTGGCGGCGCGGCGGGGCGGCGCCGTTAGGGTCAAGAGCGGCCGGCCGGACCGCGATGCCTGCACGGGCCGCCGGGCAAGCCGCCGGGAACCTCGAACCCGGCGACCCGGACGCAGCCGCACCCTGGAGGCGAAGGCCCTGGCCCTCCACTGCAACGGCTGCAAAGGCACGGGTCAACGACGACCCGCCGACAGCCGCACCCCCGTCGTACGTCGTACGGCCGTCCGTCTCCGGGATTGTCTGGACTTGAATCGCTGCCAAGACAGACGCACGGCGACGCGCGGCGTGCGAGGGAGAGCCGAGGCGCGGCGCGCGGCCACGACCACGCCACCGGAAAGGCAAAGGAAAAGCAGGGAACGGGAAATGGACGAGACAGGTCAATGCGAGATGACGGCACAAACGGACATCCATACGGCATACGCCCCGCCCCGCCCCGCCGGCCGGCCGGAGGACTCCGAAACACAAAGACGGACAGGTCCGTTGCTTCCTCCAGGCGAGGGGCTCGGGGCCCAGCAGGGCAATGTGCGTGAAGGCGTTCCGTTGCCGAGCCAAGCGCCGTTCTGTGAGCCGTGGCCCGCCCCGCCCCACCGCGCCGCCAGAGCCAGACCGCATGCATGCCTGGCCAAGCAGCCAACCGCACAGGCAAGGAGGCTGCGCGACGCGGCAGGGCCGAGGGCTCCGAGGGCCGACGGCAGGGCACTGTACAGTACCGAGCAGCCGCGAGTACAGTTTTGAGGGGCCGCGCGGCGAGAGAGAAAGAGAGAGAGAGAGAGACAGAGTGCGCGATTGCTCAGAAAGTCGGCGAGATAACCACGCGGCCGCCCAAAGGTGGAATAACAAGGAAATTAGCCTGGCGTGGCGGGGCGGGGCGTGGCGGGGCGGGAAGGGCGGGGCCCCCGCTTCGCTTCGACAGTGCAGGGCTTGACAGCGCGGCCCCTCTCGCGAGGCCCGCACAGGGCCACGGACGGACCGCGGACCACGCGACGCGACGCGGCGGGGCGGGGGGACGGCGACGGCGAACGTTACCTGCCCCAGTTGTAGGTCCGCGGACTGCGGCGAGGACTGCGGCCACAGCCATTCGGCAGCCCGGCCCGGCAAAGGCTTAAGGCCGCGCGCTGCCTCGCTCTTCATCTCCAAGTCAAAAGCTGCGCCACGGCGAGGCGGCGGGCGGCGGCAGGCGCAGGAACGGTGCCGAATACGGGATGAGCCAACCAAAGCCTGCGAAGGGTCCTCACGGCCGGGCCGGGCCAGCGCACCCACTCTCCGGCCGCACGACCGCCGCGCCAATCATTTCCACCGGTGCGAGTACACCAAGTGTACGGGTGTACGCAAACCAAGCGAGAGTACATCAAGTGCGCCTACATCGCAAGTGCGCGCGCGTACCCACGACGTCGTCGCCGGCGGGTATGAGCAGCAGCGAGGCCGACGCCCCACACTGGACCAGGCTGCAGCCCAGGCAAGGCAAGGCAGCCTGCTACTCAGCGGAGGCGGCGGCCCGTCGGGATTCAAAGTGATCCTCATAATTATCTGACCGCGGCGCGGCGCAGCGCACGCCTCGCTATGCAGGCCGCGCAGGCTCTCCGGTGCAGGCCGTGCAGTGCATCCGACACGCGCCCCATTATCCCGGGCCGGGCGGGGCAAGCCCGGGCAGCGAGACAACTGGCACACGCCCAGCCCCCCCCCCCTCGTTTTAACGCCGCGCAGGTGGGAAGTTCACACTGAGGACCATCCAGGCCTGCAGCCTGCACGCGGCGCGCGCCATGCGCCCCGCCCGCCTTACAAAGCAACGAGCAAGGAGGCGCGAGGCGCGAAGCAGCACACAAAGCAATCTGACCTTCCGTCTCGGGGCCCTCCAGCTCCAGCCCGCTCCAGCACACCGTGGGCACGCGTTGTTTTCTGCTTCTCTTTCACCCGCAGCGGTTCAGCCCAGCCAGCCCAGCCCACAGCGGCGACCAGCTTTCAAAAGCCAAAGGACGCGCGGCGTGAAACTCGCTGACGCTGCCGGCGCGGTTCGCGGAGTCCGGTCCTCGCTACGCCGAGAGGGGGCAGGGGGCCCGCATGGCGCCCAACAATGACGGCCTCACTTCCCGCAACGAGAGTGCACTTGGCTGCACTTGTTCTGCACGCCTGGTCCAGGTCGCCGACGGCGGAGACGCGGGTTCGAGTCCGCGCGACTTGCCCCCTTTCGGGCCGCTGATCGCGCTAACGAGCGCCCACACTGCATGACTGGGGCAAGGTGAGGCCAGTGTCGCGGCAGATGCTACGCGGCTACGCGGCATGCCTGAAGTGCGCTCCACAAACACAGTCGCGCACTCAAGTGAGGCGCGGTTCGCGGTCCGACCTTGCGACGCCGCGGGCCTCGAGGGCCGCCGGTCGGAAGGGCCTTTCCAGTGCCTCCGCGAGCGCCAGCTAGCGCCAGCGCGGCGCGGTTCTGAGTGGACAGCACGGCACGGCGCGCGGCAAGCAACCCAACCGACAGCTCGCGGCGACGCGTTGCCTACGGCCCGCGGCGTCCGATGGGTGGCCTACCTGCCGGCGCTCCTCTCTCCAGTCACTCGGGGCTTCGCTCCTCGCCACCTAGAGGCGGTGGGTGGGTTGCCTACCCCGACGGCGCGTTCCTCCCACACTGGTCGCTGGCCCTTCGCGCGGCGAGGGGAGGGGCGGGCCGGGTGACACAACTCACCTATTGCTGCTGTTGAGCTGCGCGGGCGGGCTGGCGGTGTTGCTATTGTTGTTGATGGTGGTGCCGGCATTGCAGGCCGTGGGCGACACCTCCACGGGAACGGGCGCCCGTCGCAGCTGAGCTACGGCCGGCTGTCTGTTGGAGTTGGCCTGCGGACCCCAACAGAAATAGTGATGACGCGATGATGTCACCGGCACAGGCGGCTCGGCGTCGCCGCGCGAGATAGAGACGGAGACACCCACCTCCCCGTTGACGGCCAGCTTGGCGGCGAGCCGCTCGTCGGGCTGCCGGTCCCGCTGCCGCAGCCTCTGCCGCTGCTCGCGCAGCGCGCTCACGTTGCCGGCCGAGTAGCGCGGCAGCGGGGCCTCGCTGGCGGCCTCCTTGACGCTCTCGGAGCGCATCAGCGTGGCGGCGCGCGGCTTGCGCACGCACAGCGACTGCCGCTCGGGGGCGGCGCGCTCCGGGAGCTGCAACTGCTGGTGGGCGGTCGGCCGGCCCGGGCTGGGGGCGGCGCGCGCCAGCGGTGGCGCGTGGGCGGCCTGGACAGGGGTGGGCGTGGGGCCGGCCTCGAACGACGTCTCCAGGTAGGTCTTGTGCTGCCTCCAGGGCCGGCTCGAGTTGAGCCGGTCGTGTCCGGGGGTGGAGGCGGTGGCAGTGGTGGACGAGTCCGAGGACTCTGGGCTGACCCTGGGGCTCGCCGCCAGCGGTGAGGGCAGAGACAGCGTTTTAGGAACTTGAGAGGGCGGTGGCGACGGCGGCGACGGGGGTGACTTCGACGTCGGCACCGGGGTGGCCGCGGGTGTGGTCCGCAGCTCCGGGGGCGGGGGCGGCAGCGGCTCGTCGGACACTATCACTTCGCTCTCGGAGGCGGGGGGCGGCGACGGGGGCGGTAGGTCGGGGGAAGGACAGTGCGACGGCCAGAGGGGGCGGTGGTGGTGCAGCGCGGGGGCGGGCATGGCGGGAATGGCGGGCATGGCGGGGATGGTGGGCATGGCGGGGATGGGCGGGGTGCTGGGGGCCGGGGGCGAGGTCGGGGACGGGGTGTTTGATGACGGGACCTGGCCGGGCGCCGCGAAGGCAGCTCGCAGGTGAGGTTTCTTGGGCGGCCGCTCGGGCACCCAGTCGTCCACGGAGATGGAAGGGCCCACGATGAGCGGCCCCAGCATGTCCGTGGAGAGCGAGCCGCAGCTGGAGCTGAAACGCGATGCAAATCCCGTTATTTTCGTTTCCATTGGACGCCTGATGGTAATGAGCCCCGATCCGAGGCAGTGGTCCGTGCCGTGGGCGTACCTGTGTTGGTGGCGAGGAACCATCGTCTCTCTCGAAAACGAACTTTCCCTGGGGTTGCCACCCAGCAACTGCAACGGAAAAAGACAATGCCAAATTAAGACGGACTAAGGACTGAGGCCTCGATCTGCCGAACGCCAACGCCATGACTCCATTGTGGCGACGCGGCGACGCACGACACACTGCGAGCCACTTTCAGTTTCGCCCAGAGCGACTCTTGCCTACACTAGAGGACACAGGACGCACAAAGCCAGCCTTCGACTTCCTGCCGCCGACTTGGCGCGCCTTGGTCTCCCAGTGTCCGATCGCGGCACCTGAATCGACGCATTGGCGTCACTCGCAGTCGGCAGGACAAAGAGTCCCTAATTACGCACCAAACGGCGCACGCTTTCCACGCCTACGACGTCGTCAGCGATGTCGTGGCTCTCTCTCTCTCTCTCTCTCTCTCTCTCTCTCTCTCTCTCTCTCTCTCTCCTCTCTCTCTCTCTCTCTCTCTCCCCTCTCTCTCCCTCCTCTCTCTCTTCTCTCTCTCTCTCTCTCTCTCTCTCTCTCTCTCTCTCTCTCTCTCTCTCTCTCTCTCTCTCTCTCTCCTCTCTCTCTCTCCTCTCTCTCTCTCTCAACGAGCCCCCCGCGTTCAGCTCACCTCTCTCCAGGTGGTGGTGGAGTAGTCCGAGGCCGAGGCGGACGACGCCCTCCGCGACGAGCTGAGGGCGGCGTTCAGGGCGCCGACGGCGGCCGCGGACGGCCTCGGGGGCGGCTCGGGCGGCTGCAGCGACGCGGGCGTCGAGGGCGGCGTGAGCGCGGCACTGAGTCGCGGCGCGAGCAGCGGCTCCGACCTCCACGCCGAACCCTGCAACGGAGACGAACGGACGAACGCGTTAGGCGCCGCGCTTTGGGTCTTGCCGCCTTTCACCGCCAGTGAATGGCAGGCGACTCAATGAAGACGAGGAATTCGGGTCGACGCCTGGCGCTTGGCGCTTGGCGCGCTTGGCGCGCTTGGCGCTTGACACGCACGTCGCCTCATCCCGTCCGCGTGGCTCATCACGAGACTCACCGTGTGAGCGCCGGCGTGCTGATGCCGCTCGTAGAAAGAAAGGAGCGCCTTCTTCTGAATAGCCTTGAGTGTGGGATCCGCCATCCTGGACGCTGCGCCGCCGGGCGCGGGGGCGCGCGATCCGGGCGCTGACGACGCCGCGCTGCCCACCGAGGGCACGCCCCCGGGCTGCTGCTGTTGCTCCTGCTCCTGCTGCTGCTTCTCCAGCTCGTTGATGCGCTCGGCGACCGACAGGGGGACCCTGGAGAAACGAGAGGGCGGAGCACAGGCATTAGGCGCAGGATGAGATGAAGTACAGAAGTACCCGGGACCTCAATGGCTCGGCGTAGACTCGGCGTAGGCACGGTGCAGGCCCAGGTCAAGTACGAACGGCCCCGGCGGCCCCGCGCACTGGGACTCTAGCGACTGGCCTAGTGAGCCTAGCCGGTCTATCTCGTTACGGGATCGATAGACTGTTAGCCGGGCGGACCCCCGCGGCTGCCCGCCCCGCCCCGCCCCGCCCCGCCGCGGGCGCCACTCGTCCTTTGTAGCGAGAAGTCGTACATGTATCGCGGTCCTAATGAGATGCAAGAACACGCGGCCAGCCCGCGCTTGGCCCGGGGCGGCCCGGGCGCGGCGACGAAGGCAGAAGGCACGTGCCGGCGAATCCTAGCCTCCACTTTGCGGTGGCGTGGCGGCGTGGCGTCAACGCGTGTTGACGCCTCTGCGAGGCCTGCTCGCCTTGCACGCCTTGCTCGCCATGATCGGCCCAGGGCGCTGGGCGCACCCACCGCACCAACCTGTTGTCCTGCTGCTCGGGCAGCACGGTGTACGTGCTGACGGGGAACAGGCGCCGCTGGTTGCGTTCGTTGTTCCTCTCCTCGCGGTCCCGGTCGGCTCGGTCCAGACGGTCCACGCGGTCCACGCGGCCCCCGAGGGGGCTGCCGCCGCCGGCCGCCGGGCCCATGGCGCGGGGGCTCTGCGCGCCCCCCACGGGGCTGCCGAGGTACAGCACGCTCTCGGAGTGGTGTCTCTGCGGCGTCTGCACCCTCGAGCTGTGGGCGATCAGTTGGTGTTGCTGCTGTTGCTGTTGTTGCTGCTGGTGGTGGCGCTGCGTCGCGAGGCCCAGCGCCGAGCTGGCCACGCTGACGTCACTCAGCGAGCCGTGCCACTTGAGTGTCTCGCTGGACGACGCGCTGCAACAGACCGCGTGTCACACAGGGTCGCGCGAGGCGGCCGTCGATACTCCGCGCTGCGGACTCGACGGACTCGTCGGGGGGAATGCGGCGGCGATACTCCGCGCGCCAGCGCCGCTGGGCCGCCGCTCCGGCCGCCACCACTCCAAGGATGGTTTACCTGCCGGAACTCGTGGTCACCACACTGTCCCGGTCCCTCGCCGGGTCCAGGTCCGCGTCCCGGTCGTCCCGGTCCGACGAGTCCTCCCACGACGACGGCGTCCCTCGCGGGGAGAGGGATGCTCCGTCGGGCGAGGCGACGGCATCCCCATCCCGGTACTCCCGGTCCCGCCGCAACCTGCCGGACAGCCAAGCACTGCGCGGTGCGCAGCGGGACGGAGAGACGCCGCGTCAGAGAGACTCTACGAGGACGAGGAGCGAGCGGGCCGCGGCGGCCGCGGCACGGGGACGCCCTCGCGCGGGGGGTATCCGCGTGCCGACGACGGCGAGGGGCGCGGCGGGGCGGTTCACGTTCACACGCTCCGAGTAAGATTTACCGCTCCGATGTGCGGCGGCAGCGCGGCAGGCAGCAGCCCCCGGCCAACGTTTGCTCGTGGGAGTCCGTTTGAACAGCACTCGCACACGCGCGGCTGATTGAAATCCGAGCGACACGCTCGACCCAGAGACCGCGGCACGGCGGCCATTCCCTTCTCCGAGCTTTGACCACCGCGGTGTCGATTCGCTGACTTTAGGTTACCTGTCGAGGAAGGGCGTGGCGGTGGAGTCGCTGGAGGACACGTAGCTGTGGTAGCCCTCGCTCTGCGCGTACGAGCCCTGGTGTTGGTGGTGCGGCCGCAGCGCCAGAGAGGCCAGGGCGTCCTCGCACGAGCGCGAATACTCCTCCAGGTCCGCCTGCGTCAGCTGCGTCAGCTGCGTCTGCGTCAGCGGCGGCGGCACCGGCGACAGCGGCGCATCCTGCTCGGCGTAGTCATCCTGGGCCAGCTGGAACAGTGGAGTAGTGGGTCTCGGTGAGGACGGACAACTGGTGCGGACCCCCGATGCGACGAGACCCGGCAGGAAGGTCTGGCCAGGCCGCGGCCAGGCTGCCAAACCCCCGACGCGCAACGAAACTCGGAGAAAAAGCGGCCCTCGGCCTGGCCTACTGGCAGATGGCCAATCTACAAAACTGAGAAATGAAAAAAAAGGCCAGGCGCGGCAATGGCAGCAGCGCCGCTCCGCGAGACAATAGATAGATTAGTTTGAGTAACGAGTCATTTGAATTGCCGTCACAACAACTCCATTTCCCTTCCCAGCTGGCAGACTGCTGGCAGGGCAGAGCCGGCAGATGAAACTTGCAAAACGCCGTTGCGTTTCCCTGCCGCGCAATTAGCTGCAGAGCTGCAGCCGCGCCGCTTCGTCACTCTCGCACTCATGGGGCGCCCGCCGTGTGGGTGCGAGCGACAGAGACGCGAGGTGGACCGGCGACGACGGGGTGCTCACCTGGTGGCAGGCCCGCGGCGGCAGGTAGCGTTCCAACTCGGCTTGCGTGATGAGCGGCTTGGTGGCGATCATGTCCGGCTCGCTGACCGGGTCATCGCTCTGCAACACAAACAAGGCACGGCGTCACGACGCTGAATAGTCTTGTACGGCCAACCGCCACAGCTGCCACGCAATCAGGCGAGGCACTGCACTCCCAAGATCCTACTGAGCTTTTTCTTCGTCCTACGAACAAAAAGCTTAGTATTATGACAGCACAGCGAAGGTAGTAACGTATGGTGAGGGGCTCTCAGTAACTTATGACCAGTTTCTTAGTATTACAAACAAATTTCTTTGTATTATGATAGATTTGTGTCGTAGAGTACTGAGAATTAGCTTAGTATTATGACAGCGCGGCATTTCTCAGTAGAAAATTGGGAGTGTGCGAGGCACGCGCCACTTGGCATTCCCCGTGGCACGGCCATCGCCGACATCGCCCCGACATCGCCATCGCCAAGCCGGGCCGGCGGTGGCAGGCGGTGGCCGCACGCCAAACGAGCTGCAGAAAGACCGGCCGATGACTAATTTGGCGCCGCCACCGCCGGCAGGCCTCGCTCCGTCTCTCTCGCACTCACGGGGCGTTCCTCAGGCGTGGGAGAGAGACGGAGCGACGAAACAGAGCGCCCCGACGACGGGGGCGCCAGGAACTGCAGCGCCGGCCCGGGCCCGGCGCCGGCCAGCACGTGAGTTATGTTATGAACGACCCCCGGGCCGCATTGCCGCATTGCCACGGTGCGGCCGGGCCGGTCTGGTTCGCGACTGACCATCGCCAAGCACTCGCTGCGCGCTGTGCCGCGCCGCGCCGCGCCCCGCGCCGCCCCACCCGGCCCCCGGCCGACTACTTTTTCTGCGTACTCATTAACTGCAGCTCCGCCGGCTCCAGGCTGGAGGCACTGGAGGCATGGAGGCTCCAGCAGCCCTGCCGTTCAACGGGGAGGCCGGGAGGAGGGAGGGAGATGGAGATTTATACCGGCCTCGCTCCACCACACCGGTCCGCCGGTCCGCCGGCCACGATACACGCACCGCACCTAAGCCGCGTGTGTCGCGTGTTTTATGGTGGCCAGCGGGCCGCGTCGCTCCGTCTCCCTCGCACCCTTCGGAAGGTCCCTCGAGTGCGAGAGAGGCAGAGCGACGAAAGCCCAGCCAGCTGGCGACGCGTGGCGACGCGTGGCGACGGCCCCAGCGTCCCGAGGTGTCCGCGGCCTCCGCTTCCTGCTGGCCGTGCGGGCGGAGGCGGACGCGGCGGACGGGACGGGCCGAGCGCGTCCCAGAATAATGATTGACGGCACGCGACGCCACGCCGCGCCGCGCCACGCCACGCAATTGCAAGCAAACTGATAACATCAGCGCGTACAGAGAAAGTGTAAGTACGGGGGGAGCAGCGCGCATGTGTGTGCGTGCGGGGCACGGTGGGCACGGCGGGCACGGTGGGGAGCAGCGCGGGGGGCCACGTGACTTGCACACGACCTGCATGTTGTTGTTGATGAGGTGGCAACTCGAGTCCCACGGGGCACGGCGGCCACGGCGGGGCCACGTCGCGGTGAAACGCTTTGCCCGCAGCCCTGCTCCAGGCTCCGAAGCGCTCCGCTCCACTCCAGGCACCGTCCAAGGCTTCGCGGCTTCGCTGGCTCGCCGAATGCCTGAATGTGCTCCAGGCAGCTCCAGGGCTTACCTGCAGGTACGAGTAGATGCTTTTGCTGCTCTTGCTGGCCTTGCTCTTGCCGCTCTTGGTGGGCGGCGCGGGCTGGTGGTGGCCCTGGGGCGACGCTCTGCTGGGGGCGGCGCGCGGCTGCGTCCTCGGGGCGACTCGCGGGGCGTTGGGGGCGGCGCTGGAGGCGTGGTTGGCGGCGGTGCCGCGTGCTGGTATCATGGTGCGGCCGGCGGTCGCGGCCGGGGGCGGCCCAGGCGGCGCCCCGCTGGGGGCGGGGCCGAGGTTGGTGGCGGCCGGGCCGGGGCTGGGGCCGTGGCCCGTAGCGGCGTACGGCCCTCGGCCAGGGCGG